AAGGGTGCAAAATTGTATGTGAATTTTTTTTTTCTGGATAGGTAGGTTCGTAAGTTGGAGAACTGAATAACCGATAGCGTGTTCCTGCAGTAATTTTGCAGAATCATACCGCAATGGTCGATGATTCGACGTTATTAGGGACCAGAGCCGTGCCAAAAATGATCCCGGTAGTAGGCGCGAGCGCTACTCCTCCTCCACACTACTGAGGGAAGTAGACCATCCCTGGCGTAGGTTGTGAGTAATAGAACTGATCTGGACCAGGCGGCATAACGCTCGTCATGCCCACCATTCCAGGAGTGTACTGCTGCGGAGCAGGGTAAGCGGGAAACCCAGAAACGGCGGGCAGTTCGGATGCGTTGAAATAGTAGACGGTGCCGTTAAGTTCCTGGGTGACCAGGTTTTGTGACGAGGTTTGTCCAGCAGGTTGACCACTTTGAGCGTCACCTTGAGCCGATGCTGCGTAGTTGACGGGACCTCCCTGCGGCGGCCCTGCTGGAATGAAGGCGGGAGCGCTAGCGTTTGGTGCAATGGTGTTTGGATACCCTTGAGGGTAATAGTAGCCCTGTTGAGGGGGCATCACAGGATATGTCTGTGGATAGTAATTTGGGGGAGGCTGACCAAAGGTGTTTGGCTGGAAAGGAGCAGCGTGAATAGCACGCTCCGGAATCTGCGAAAGGGGTGTAGCTGAAGAATACTGCGAATTGTACGAAGGGTGCCGAGCGTGAGACTCCGGCCCAAGGCCGCCAGACACATGCGGCGGTACTTGGTGATGGAAAGCATGTTGGTAGGGCGAAGCGGCGTTAGCGGACTGTCGAACGGGCGACTCAATGTTCTCGACTGAGACGGTTTTCTGAGGGCGGGGTTGGTGCATTGGGAGGGAGCTGGGGGTGGTCTCCTGGAAAGCTGGCTTCTGAGGGAGCGGATATGTATGTGGTTGAGGCAGGGTGTTAAGAGACGACTCGCTCGCAGGAAAACCATTCTCAGCTGTATTCGGTTGAACGGGCGGTTGCATAAAAGGAGGCAGGCGAACAACTGGCTTCGAGGCGTCATGTGGTAGAGGAGGGCGTGAATAAGCGGAACCAGTGGGCGAAAGCATGAACTCTCGTCCAACAGATGGAGCAATGGATGACCGGCGGCTCATTGCGATGCTAGGCGAGTACATGCTCCCGATAACGCTTCCACCCCAAACGCTTGTCCTCCGAGAGAAACCACCCGAGCCCAGAACAGACCGGGGGCCCCTACCCCGAGTCCGCTGCTGATTAGGCCGAAGAGATCGCGGGATGAAGATGAACGACCTGTCCTGGGCAGGATAGATGTAACGAGGCATGAGGGGCGGCCCATGGTCCGGCAAAGAAATTCGAACCGGCTTGTCGCGACGGAGAGGTGGGCGGTGATCAGGCAGTTTGGTGTAATTCTTCAGCACAATCCCCTGAAAGAGCTTGGGTTCCTTCATCAACGAAGGGATGAAGACCCGTATGTTGGTGGTACCAAACGGCTTTTCCGTCGACATAGAACGGTTGATAGGGCCCTTGGGCGCAGGTGCATGTGGGATTATGCCATTCCCATTCGGCGGGCCTTCGTGAAGGGGAATGTAACGCGAGGGTCGGTGGACGACGGCAGGCGGTTGAATTACCTCGTCGTGCATATCATGCTGCCATGGTCCTCTCATCGTGGGGTCGGCGGGATTATCGAACTGGCGGCTGAAAGAAATTTGTTAGCAACGTTATCTAGAGCTCGACAAAAAATTCATAGCATTGGGCCATACCTAATGGGAGCGAACTGGCCACCAAAGGCCCCTCCGCGACCTCCTCTGCCTCCACGATTGCGCTGAGTGAATGGGCGGAAGCCATTTGCAGCAGGTCCAGCACCACGGTGGTCGTGCAAGAAAAAGCCTCCCCTGTTGGGCACGAATGTGGGATCTTCGTCCCTCTTCCGCCTATACTCTTCGTGCTCGCGACGCTTTTGTTCCACAACCGGCGACTTTGGGGCTTGATTCAAAACCGAGCTCACTATAATCGGTGCCGAATCTTCCTTGACAGACGGGGCTGATTTGATGTCATCAAAGTTCAGCTCCTCCCCTTGATGCTCCTTATCTTCGGAAATCGACAGCTGGTTGAGCATGGTGTCTGCATCGGCAATGACAGTCTCGACGGTGGCGGCAGGGGCCTTGCCAGCTACAACGTCAGCCGGGCGCCGATAGCCGTGCTTTGCAGCTCCATTGCCCAAAGATTTATGAGGGGTTGGTAGCGTCGGTGACGCCTCGTCGACATCGCTGGTGTCACTATCGTCGGCGGGGTCATGCTCGTCACTCGAGGCGTCGGACATGGAGTCATCGTCGACCTCGAGCGCGTCCGGGCCGCCCTCTTCTTCTTCATCATCTTCGCGGCGCCGACGGGGGCCCTTGGCTCTCCTCCCTTGAGGACCCGCAGGAGCCATTGTGTAGGACCGGGGTTCGGCTTGATGATGAAACGGGAAGCAGGAGAAGTGTCGGGTTGCAGTAGGGAGGAAGCGGTGCAGGGAGCTGCGGGTTTAGCGCCGGTCACTGCTCGAATATCATGTGGCACTTGGTTGGTTGATGACGCCAAAAGGGTTCGAGGTTTGTTGGGTACCTCCAAACAAAAACCAGAATGCCTGGCGGCCGGAACCGTCCTGCGGTGCTTTTGCAACAGTCGAAGGGGGAGTGGACACGAGATAGACCAGGAAGCGCTGGGTCGAGGGTCGAGGAGGACCGAGAGACGTGGAGCGTCGAGAGCGGCGATGAGAGAATCAACGGGCAAACTCTCTGTGGAGGGGGAAGCTGGATGGAGAATGCCAGACTGCCTAAGGTAAACCTAAGCAGGTCCAAACAGGGCTGTCCAGGACAGTACTTCCTAGAGAAAGGGGCCGTGCTGCGAAAGCGGAAACTAAGGTAAAGCAGAGGCGAGTTAACTCCTCCAGCAGCTCCTCTGGTAGACGGCGACCACAGAGAGGGTGGGAATTGGGGCAAGAATCCGCGGCTAAAGAAAAGCCAGTGGATGGATGCAGAGAGGCAGGCGCAGAAAGAAAGCAGATGCCGTTGTATTCTCTCTTGTTTTTTTTTCTCTCTCCTAGCGTTCGCGGGATGGGAGGTTGTGAATTGGGGATTTTGGAAACAGAGGTGGCTCGGGCTCAGCCTGGCTTGCTGCTTGCTGGCTGGGCTGTTCTCTAGCCTGAGTCTACTGCAAACGAGCGAACGGGCCAAAACCAGAAGAAGGTGCCAATTTTTTTTCCCCAGCTGCTGACTGGCGCCGTCACCCCGTCAGAAAACATTGGATGGACCAGACCACCAGCAATGCGATTCCCCTCCACAAAATCGACCTGTCAAGGACTTACTCTCTTGACAGGCCCGGTCAAGGACTTACTCTCTTGACAGGCCCGGTCAAGGACCAGCCAATCCACTTTGCAAAAGCCCCGTGCTGGGAGTCTGGGCACGTCACATCGCGATTCAAATCCACGATCTCACAGTCCCCCAGAGAATTCGAGCGCAAGGATGAAAGCTCCATAATCCTTGTCACACGCCAAACATCGACCCCGTCATTTTTCTTTCGTTCACCAACCTTGTTTGCAGGCGCTCGTTTTCATCTGACAAAAGATTCAAGTCCCAAAACCTTTGCTTGTACTTCGTACGTGCGCAAGTAAAACGCCAACAAGCCACATCGACGATATTACGAAAGCCTACGTATTCAATTGCCCCATCGTGTTATATTATAGCCAGAACCGTCTGTGCCTCGGGAGCATTCTACCAACCTTAAAGCAACCGGATCGTGCTCTCTGGAAGGTGCCGGTCCTAGACATTTTGGCCATGAAAGATATCTAACCCGACAAACCGACGTTTCATACTCTGCTGTTCGTGTTTCCTGCCGTGTTGGGTTCGAGCAAGCCGCGGCATATGATCCTGTCCTATGGCTCAAGAGCACGTCGACGTGCCTCAGAGCTGCCTAACGCACGCACTCAAAGGCAGTTTCTCTCTCTCTCATCCCCACCTATCCTGCCTGCCTCAAACGCGGCGTTACACCATGCTGCAGGAGAGCCAGCCTACCCACCTCGGCTTGAGATGACTGGCTGGAATGGTTGATTGGTTTGCGAGGTTCCTGGGCTAAAAATCCAGGCATGTCGGTCGTTGTTTTCTTCTTTGATTATGCGACAGGAGGCATACAAGCTGGTGACCTCTTCTCTATCTAGCCATCAACGAGACACTACACCACATTCCCAGTGTAATATGCGTAGCTCTGCATAGGTAGCCGAGAGGTGGTCATGATCTAGGTACTCGATAGGAAAGAGAGGTAGGTGATTCCTAGGAAAAGATACCTCTTCCGCTCTCCCCCCTCCCACACTCCGACCGACACGACCGACAAGACTACGTTTAGATCGACTTCTCCTCAAAACTGCCGCCGGAACCAGTGCCCGACGAAAGATTTAAGAATTTACCGGCGGCGCGGATCGGTACAGGGTTGACCCCCACATGGGCCTTTCCAGTATCTAGACCCCTGTTCAATGACGACGGCGGGAGCTTCATTTGTGGGTGTCCAAACCACAGCATCTCCTTTTCTTTTTCATATGCTCTTCCTTCCATTCAATCATCTTTTCTCTGATTCATCACTTTAACTAACTACACACATGGCACACATGTAATCAAGTTAAAATCTACACCTGTACGAAGCTGTAGATAGGTAGATTCCAGCGCCTAGAGTAGCATGCCCTGCTTCCCCTCATGCTTCAACCTATGGAGAGTAAAACCACTGCCCTTCTACCTACAAGGCTTGAAGCTGCCACTCACACAACCCATCCCGGGCATATAACCTTGTCGAACTCATGCATAGTGTAACGCATGCGCTCACGCACGCACCCATCCCATCTGCACTTCTTCTCACTCCTTCAGGTCCCCTCAAGATGGTCAAGCTCCACACACCTATATCCGGTCCACTACATGCACACGCACAACTTAAATCACTCACCCACCACGAATTCCCAGCACATCATACGGCAAGGTGGCCGAGCGGTCTAAGGCGCCAGGTTCAGGCTTCAACCTGAACTTCCGATTCTTCTCTTCTGAAGTAATCTTCCTGGTCTGGAAACAGGCGTGGGTTCGAATCCCACCCTTGTCATCATCATACTTTTGCATTTTGGTGCTCTTCATCGTTTTGCTATTCTACCAATGGCTTCGAAGGCATATACATTCTTTTTCTCTGACTAATAAAAGTAATTGCCTGCCTCCTGCCGAGTCAATGGTTGACGTTTTGATACTTGAGCGAGATGCCATTCAAAGTTCTTGTGTCTTGCAGATATCATCATGTTGTGAATTACCAACTTCAATCTGTTTCACCTTTCATCATCATTGCTTTTATCGCACCTTAGCGGCACACTTGTTCAAGGTGATGCAACGAGTTACCAAAAAGGGGCGATTTGTTATTCTATACTGAACCTAAAACTACCAAAGGCACCAAAACGAGTTATAAAAGGTATTGTGTTGCTCACACAGCCACACCAGCAGTGGTAGCAGGACTTCGAAAGCAGTTGCCTACAATGAATCTGGACGATGAGGGCTTAATACTTCGAGGCTTCCAAAGAGCATGGCAGCGGCGCTCCGCCTTGGCACATCGTCTTACCCCCAAGTCCCGGTTCTCCAGATGACAGGGGCTCACTCTGCTTCTTCTCAATCTTGGGAACAGCACCGAAGCGGTTATGGCCTTGGTCCCAGATCTAGGAGAGTAGCCGTGTTAGACCATTCACCTTGGAAGGAAATCACACAGTTTAGGGGCATAACTTACAGCGTAGATGGACTTGAGGAAAGTGTCACCAAGAATATCAAAAGGGTTCTCGCCGCGAGACTGGATGCCACCATACCAGTTCTCTTCGTCGGCAGATGTAAACAAGATGTCTTCCTTCTGGACTGTGAACTCCTTGCCGCCAACATCAATGGAAAAATCAGGCAAATCGTCAACCGCGGTGGTCTTGGGGATGATGTAGCCCTGGTACTTCTCGCTGTACGTGGCACCCTTGATCTTCTTGTAAAGAGCTTCGCAAGCCTGGTCCGAGACGAGTGCAAGTGTCGTGCCAGTGTCGGCAATGGCCTTGTTGCCAGACAGGGCAATCTTCTCACCAGCCACGGTAGCACTCTGACTGTCGAACATCCAAAAGCCCTGGGAGTTGTCGACGTCAGCCCAGGCGATTTCCTGACCCGATTCCCGGACAAGATCTTGGTCGATGAAGCCAAAGGTGTAGAACGATTTCTCCTGCTGATCACGAGAGCTGTAAAAGGCTGTCGTGAACAACTCGGCCTCCTTCGGAATATCCTCCTGTGTGATCATGTTTTCAACGGGCGTAGGCTGAGGATCACGGGTGCCAAGGTACGTATGACAAGTGTTGATCTTGGAAAAGGCGAGACCGAGTAGACCACCGATCACACCCTCGCTGAACTGTGATGAAATATTGTCGGCGACCTCGACGGCCTGCTTCTTGATGACGATGCCTCCGATCGAGACGGTATCGACTCCAACGGAGCCCGAAGCGTTGCTCCCATCGCCGTACTGGATCTTCCAGCCCATGCCCTTGAGGATCTCGAAGGTGGAAGACTTTTCAGGGTGGAAGAGATCCTTGCGAACCTATTGACCGTGATCAGTAGTTGAAAAGACGGTCGGGTGGGGGTTAAGCGTACCCAAAGATCAGCAGAACCCGTGTCAAAGTCCAGCAAGATCTTTTGAGGGGGGGTGCCAATCAGGACTTCACAGAGGTACTCTATGTCGTTCTGCTGGTCTTCAGCTGGCACTTCTCCAGTTGGAGCATCCTTCTCGCTCTGTCCAACCAAGGAGGTCCACAAGGTACGCAGGGCTCCGACGGCATACTTGCCCGAGTACCAGTAGGTATCATCTTGACGAGGTGATAGCTGGGAGTATGGGCCCGGTTTCGTAGGCTTGAAGCCATATCGGTTTAGGGCAGAGGCGTAGGCTTTGGTGCCATGGCGTTTGAATTTGTGGTTGGGTACGGCTCTGACCTTGTGCAAACCAAGCTCGCTGCGGAGCCTGGATTGGACGTGGAAAATGGACTCCATGATGACTGGTCTTGCTGACGAGGGTTGGCTGACTGGAATGGAGTGAAGATGTGTGGTGATAACGTAAGAGAGAGAGGTTTCTGAAGACTGAGGAATGGTAGATGTGAGGTTGAAGAGCAGAGAGATGGAGAAAGTCGGCCGGATATCACTTTTTGATGACTCAAATCAGCTCATGTCGTCAGTCGTCATCTGCCACTACGGATGGCCATGGGATGAAAGAACGATGCTGGGCCTTCATCATGGGAGGGCAAGTGAGACCCCCAAGCCGAGCTCAGGTGAGTCGTCCCTTTCATGTTTTGCGTAAGGTAGCAGTACAGCAAGAACAATCGCATTTTCAAGTGTCTGTTGATTGAGCTGTCTCTGATAATGCTCCATCGTGAATCAAATCCGACCGGATTGGTAAACACCTAGGGACAGTCACTACAGCCCGTATTTAATTAGCTTTGAGGTGTCAGGTACTGCTCAGGAACCCTCATACGATAGATACATGAGAGAGTTAAAAAAAAAACCCCTCCAAAAAGTGTAAGAAGAAAATCTCCAAATGCTCACCAGCCTTACGTTCGTGCGAGGCCGGTTACGGAAACCCTCGGTAGGTTTTACTTGCGGTGGGAATCGAATTCAAGGCCTTCCCGGAAGGTATGGTCTTCTCCCGGAAAAGGGTCGTGGCGTGCCTGCCTCTTCCCCAGGCTGCTGGGCTATGGGACCAGTTGTTGCCGCAGTTGTCTGAAGAGGAGGCGTTGGATGGAAGGCGGAAATGGTCGTATATATACCTAGGCACCTGTCACGGTGACCCCTTTGGTGTACCTTCCAGGGAAGAAGCAAGAGCTGAACGCTGTAGAGAGAAGACGGGAAAGTGGAAGGTGAGTGACAAACAGGAGTTGAGGTGTCCTTCTCTTCCAAACTACCTAGGTATCTAACTGAGGATTATCCTAGGTTTGAGACCAGATTCAAGTAGTCAAAAGGTAGGTACCCTTGCTGCGGAAACATGTCCGTACAAGGCAGCACAGCAATCACAGTGGCTGAGGAAATAATAATGGCTGGCGAGACGAATTCCATAGATTTTTGGGTCTTGTTGTGAGTAGAAAAGAATTCGAATGCAGATTATGAGTGAAGTTGTGTGTGTATATTATCTGGTTACGCTTTATGTACATCCAATGCATTGGAAAACTGAATCATGCCTCAAGAGCTAGGTAATAATCATGTCAAAAAGAACAACAGCAAAAGAAAAAAGAAAAGGTGAGAGCCATAAATTCATGACTAAACAACAGCCCCCCCCCCCCCCCCCACTCAACTTCTTCTCTTCTTTTTCTTTTTATTTTCCGCTTGAAAGTATCCATCCACTTTCGAGTTAACATGTACAAAAAGTAGTTGTTCGTCCATCTACCACATACATATATGTAGGTGTGAGGTGTGAGGTGCGTGAGTTATGTGTCGGCATATGAGCGAGTTGTGTGTGTGTTGTGTATGTGTGTGTGTACATCGCAATACCACATGAGGTAACCGAAAAAGGCACGTACGTGTCTATCCTCTTGACCACCACCACCGTTTCGCTTCCGGTTGAGAAAAAGTAAAAATCGTACAAGCCAAGTTCATCCATCCACCCAATCTCCCTCCTTTGCTTTTTGCCCAGAAAGAAAACCGTGAATGATATAACAAGGGAATTCCAACAAAAAGAGACGAGTGCCATGAAGAGCCGTAAAGGGAACCAGCGGGGACCTCGTCATCTTCAGTCCTCTCACCGGTCTACTCCCGGGATCGAGAGATGGTGACATCTCTCCCTTTTCTCCCAATATCATGCCTTCTACAAGCATTACCGCGCCTCACCGTGATGTAAATGTGGCGAGCGCCCCATCCCACTTGTGGTTCGAATGATGAGTTGTAAAGTCGGGATCCTTGCTCAACTAATCATTGGGTATCACCCTAGTACGCTGCTGCAGGATTGGGGAATTCCACGATCGCTTAAGCCGAAGGTGCGCCTCCCATGCCTTGAAGCTTGCTGGCCAATTCTGGGTACTTCTCCTGCACCTGAATCTGAGTTCTCGTTGCCTCGGCATACGACAATGCGTTGACAAGCTCGCCCTCGGTTCTCGCGAGCTCAGCCGCGCGCTCAAAGTACTTGAGGGCCTCGACAACGCGGCCTTGCTGCAGAAGGAGCTGAGCCATTGTTGCAACGGCAATATCGCATTCCTCATCGACTAGAAAGCATAATGTTAGCGTCTGGTGAGTTCGCTCAGAAATCCTGGAAGAATGGAAACTTACTGATGAGGGCCTTCTCGCAAAGCTTCTCCGCCTCCTTGAAGTCCTGCTTCCATTGGAACAGCGCAAGAGACTTGTTGATCAAAGGCAGCACGTTCATAGACATGGGCTTTGTCTCCTTCTCCAAATTCATCGCCGTGTCGAACTTGTCAATCGCCTGTTCGTATTCATTCTGGTCCAGGAGGAGCTCGCCATAGTAATTGTAGACGTCGGGTGTCTGAGGGAACTTCTTCATGGTGCGACGGAAGGTGGCCATTGAGGAAGCAATCGAGCCCATCTTGTACTGGGTAACGCCGAGTTGAATGTGGGAGAAGATAAAGTCACCGTCGAGATCGATCGACTTTTGGTAATCCTTCTGAGCCTCGGCAAACTCCCCCTTAATGAAGTGAAGCTGCGCGCGGTGGTAGTAGATATCTGGGTCGGAGGCATTCTTCGCGAGTGCTGCCGTGAAATCCGCCTCGGCTTTCTCGGGCGATCCAAGTTCGAGATTCATACTAGCGCGCTTGATATAGCTCTGCGTCATCTCGGGGTCGAGCTCGATGCTCTTGGACAAATCCGCCAAAGCCTCCTCATGCTTCCCCTTGAGGCACCGGAATGTGCCACGAAGGTTGTAGGCATAAGCCTCGTATTCACCGAGATCACCAAGCTCTATCGCCTTCTCGAAAGCCTCGGCAGCTTCTACGTACGCAGGCGCAGCCTTGTTTTCCAGAGCCTTCAGACCCTTCTGCAGTTGTCCCTTTCCAGTTTCCTCGGAGAGTTCCACCTCATCCTCCAACCCGGCTGGCCGGGGCTTGGCCCTGA